TTTGAAGCAAAATGCTAGGAAACTGGAGAGAAAATATCGCTCCACAGGCCTACGGGAGTCCTTCCTAGTCTAGAAAAATTGTTTACTACTGTATAGGAGGACCCTTTGTAAAGCAAGAGCAGCATATTTCTCCTTATAATAGAGGAGCACAATAATAATCCTAGATAGCCCTTCCCAGTCAAAAGCCAGCCGAATGGCAGCCCACTTCCCTGCAACTAAACTAAATGAGAACCTAAAGCAAATTTACAAAGAAATTATTTTCATTAGGTATAGAGAAGCATTGTAGAAAGTTTTGTTTGTGTTTTTTGTTTTGTTTATTTGTATATATGTATGAAGGTATATGTGTATACACATTTATGTATGTATATGTGTAGGTAGGTATGTATTTATATGGATATATATAGCAATATAATTATAAATATTGTAAATCGAAGAAATACAAGAATTAAAGGGGTAGGAGCACAAAAGTTTTACTTCTTCCTACTTCTTTTTGCACATGTAATAGAGGTATATTAACTAGGGAAAGAAGGGTACCTTGTCTGTTGTTTTTCGCTCCAATATTTTTAAACATTGTTTTATTGTTTTTTTTTGTTTTTCTCTTGCTGTTCGAAATAAAGAATAATAATAATAATAAAAAAAACTCCCAGCGAAATCACCTCCAACTTCCAGCCACTGGAGTGATCCCCTCTTGCATATATTTTTACTTTGACTCCACCCTTTGACTTAATTACAGGGTCTCTCCAGGAGATGACGATTCTCTTTAGATCTTAATGTTCACAAGTAATGAAAGAAAGAATATTCTAGTACAAACATCAATGTTTAAAATCGAATTGCAGAGGACCAGCCAAGGGCCCATCATGGAAAGTGGGAAAATTTTGAATGTCTACTACTGTATGTGCTCACGTTTTTTTGTAGACTCAAGCTTTATCCCGCTAAGGATAAAGTATGAAATATGATTTTTTTTCCTCCCCTCACCTATTGATATTTCTTTCTGTGCTTTTTCTTTAAATAAAGGCAGCACCTTTTATGGTAGAAAGGCCTCTGACACCACATCCCGCACGTATAATATCTGTGTAATATCTTTCTGTTTGTTTGTTTTTTGTTTTTTTTTTTTGCATTCTTGGACGGGCTGAACCAATACTGAATTTCACTTTAGGGGTTAATAAAGTATAATTGAATCGAATTTATCACAACCACTGTAACAGACACTAGCTGTAGGACAAAGCTAAGGTGGAGGTACCTGGTCGTGCCATTGGTGTTTCATTATTTTAATTAAATTGAATTCAGTTTATTTATATAGTGCCAATTCACAACACATGTCATCTCAAGGCATTTTACAGAGAAAATTCAACCAGACTATACATGAAACCAGTGTATTGCATTGACTCATTTACTTGAAGGTAATCCCTCAAAATAGATTTTATGTATTTTCCTCTTAAACGTAAATTTTTATATATTATATTCTAGTTATTATATCATGTTTGTGGTTGTAAATGTTGTTCTGGTTCTACTCTAAAGGATGTCATTTTGGATGTGAAAAAAAATGAAAATTAAACCATCTTATATTGTCCAATCTGAATCTTTCCCAAATAAAACTGAAACATTGGGATCAATACTTGTTGGATGCTTTTCCTCATTTTTGTCCATAAAGTTCAAAATGTTTTGAACTTTATGGACTTTATGGCTCTCTTTGAATCATTTCATTAAATCATTTAGTTTTAATTTGCAGAAAAAAATCACCTCAGTTCCTTCACTTTGCAGATTGAACTCTCCAGTATCTCACACAGACACTTCGTTTCAGAGTCTCCAAACGATCTATCTCCATAGATATTCTCTATTTCCACTTCAACCAGATGACGGTTGGACTTCAGAGCTGAGGCCACAACTTCACATTCAGTTACATAGAGAGAACAGCCAACAAGTCTGTGATTAGAGGAGAAATAATTCAGTTACAATGAAATCAAAAAATCTGGATGATCATCATCTGATAAACATCTGCTCTCCACATCATTGTCTCATTTAATTCAGCCAAGGCTTCAGAATGCCACGTTTCTGTGGTGGGCTGTCTTTTGCCTCTGGGGTACAAAGGTTGGACTGGAAAGGAAAACAGTTGCTAAACACATCAAGAAAGAGCTGAAGACCCAAACCTTGGGAGGAGACCGAACATTTTGGTCAAGCACCATTTTTTATGGAAAAGCAGCAAGAGTTCTCTCAGTAGAAGAGACTGGAATATCTAAGTTAAAGCTTATATCTCTAAACGCCTTTATGTAGGAAATCTTACAGCCTCAACAAAGGCTGCAGATTAAGTGTAAGCTTTGGAGGAGAAGGCTTCGGGAGGATCTGACAGACACTAGGGCTCCTGCAGAAATTACATTTTCTAAAATCATAATCAAATCAAATCATAAAAATCAACACATTTTGGTTCAAATTAACAAACTCAAACTAAAAAGGGTAAATCCTGGACTAATGGTCCAATGAGTGGAGAGGTGTTTAAAGGTTCTGATGAGTTTCTGGCTAATTGGATCTTTAGAGAAAATGATTTTCTTCATTCTGAAGATTTTCTAATCATTTCAATAAAAAATGAAAACTAGTCAAGTGGAATATTTTTTAAGTTATCCAAATGTCTAAACATCAACAGCATTAGCGTTGTCCTGAAGGTGGTGAACCTTTAGATGTTTGAATGTCCCTAATGGTCAAACCAATGAAGGAAAAAGTTAAAGAGCAAAAACACCCAGACACAACTAGAACCATGAAGAAAAAGAAGGAGGACAATAGAAATGAATCAGCATCACACCATAAAGACATCTGGACTCACCGAGCCTTTTTGCAGTTCCTAACAGCTGGAACCAGTCTACGTCGTCCTCCCTTTGATGTGTTGTACTTCTCCAGGTCTAACTCATCCATAACCTTCTCTGACATCTGCAGCATGTAAGCAAGAGCTGAGCAATGGATCTCTGAGAGCTTCTTTTCTGATTTGTTATCTGATTTCAGGAACTGTTGAATCTCCTGATAAACTGAGAGGTCATTCATCTCAATCAGACAGTGGAAGATGTTGATGTTTCTATCAGGAGAGACATCATCATCAGTGTT